CCATCTCAAATTTAGTCTTTCATGTGAGTTAAAGGGAGAAGGACAATTTTGAACTCTATCCAAACAGTAGCCAGGAATAGAGATTAGGAGTAATTTGCTTTCAACACCTGCTTGCTTTTTTTTTTTTTTTGCTTTTTTGTACAGTTTTTGGACAGGGCTGGGTTTGAACCCGCCACCTCCAGCATATGGGGCCGGCGCCCTACTCCTTTGAGCCACAGGCACTGCCCCCCATCTTTTTTTTTTTGAGCCAGAGTCTCACTACATCACCCTTGGTAGAGTGCTATGGTGTCACAGCTCACATCAACCTCAAACTCTTGGGCTTAAGCTATTCCCTTGCCTCAGCCTCCCAAGTAGCTGGGACTACAGGCACCTCCCACAACATCTGGCTATTTTTTTGGTTGTAGTTGTTGTTGTTTAGCAGGCCCAGGCTGGGTTTGAACCTGCCAGCCTCGATGTATGTGGCTGATGCTGTAACCACTGTGCTACCAGCACTGAGCCAGATTTAAGCATCTTATTTATGTATCAGACTGTAAGGGAGGGCTCGTAACAGTCACACAGACAAAGGACCAAAAGAAGGCGTGAATGGACCTATTTCCCTGGTTTGAGGGTGGCTGGTGCCTTGACACCAAGATTGCGGATTCATCCCATAGGTGAGCAGTGGTATTGTAGCCACCCCAGCCTCCACTGCAGTGGCCATCCTGAATGTGGCCATTCAGAGAGGCCTGTCCCACGGAGCCCAGAGGTGAGCTTCTCTTGGCTGTCCTGAACCTCTGAGGGTAGAGCCTGTGGGTAACCCCTTCCCTGGCTGGCCACATGGAGAGGGCTCTGGGAATGGAACCTGGGCAATGTAGACGCAACCTATCCTGGGACCAATTCTTCCACCAGGCTGTTCTGTGTGGCCCTGGGACAGCTGGACCGGCCTCCTGACCTCACTGATGATGGGTATGACTCAGGTCGTGGATATGAGTGGGCATGTGGCAGGGCTCCCAGGGGGCTGGTTGGGTAAGGCACTGTGTGTACAGAATACTCAGCTGTGGTTTGGGAGGGGCCCTGGGGGCAAGGCCAGGTGGGTCTTCAGCACAGAGGGTCAGTAGTATGAGTACCATCCAGGTCCTCTTGCCTCGCCTCTGCTGCCTGGACTGGGTGGGGGAAGGGCCTCACACAATTGTGTCCATGGTGCTTGCTGCCCCTGGAAGGAGGACTTTTTGGCTGAGCATCAGGGGCAAGGAGGCAGCTGCTTTCTCTGCATTCCATGTTTCCACTCCACTGCCGGGGGTGAGTAGTCATGTTGTGTAGGGCAGATGGGGGGACTCCATCACTATGTGCAGTTGCCCTCACTGGCATTGTCAAGAGGGCCAGGTCGGCTCGGCACCTGTGGCTCAAGTGGCTAAGGTGCCAGCCACATACACTTAAGGTGGTGGGTTTGAATCCAGCCGGGCCCGCCAAACAACGATGGCTACAACCAAAAAAATAGCCGGGTGTTGTGGCGGGCGCCTGTGGTCCCAGCTACTTGGGAGGCTGAGGCAGGAGACTTGCTTGAGCCCAGGAGTTGGAGGTTGCTGTGAGCTGTGATGCCATAGCACTCTACCCAGGGAGACAGCTTGAGGCTCTGTCTCAAAAAAAGAAAAAAAAAAAAAGAGGGCCAGATCTCTGGCCCCTTTTAGATCAGTGTTCACTTTCCAGGAAGAGGGGCTGAGCTAGCGGGGGTGGGGGGTGGGGGGGGTGGGGTGTCCCTGGGTGAAGAGCTGTAGCCCTGCTGTCCCACAGACCAGTGGTGGGTTCCTGAGCTGCATCGTGGGCCTGGTGCTGCCGCTAGCCTATGGCTTCCAGCCTGACCTGGTGCTGGTGGCGCTGGGGCCTGCCCATGGCCTTCAGGGACCCCATGCTGCTCTTCTGGCTGCAGTGCTGCGGGTGCCGGCAAGAGGCCGAGTTCTGGTCCTGGTGGAGGTGAGTAGGGTGGGGTCGACCTACGCGGGGCCGGGACCCGCCGCGGGGTCCCCAGGACAGTGACCACTTCTTCCTCCGTGGCTCAGGAGTCAGAACCTCAGCTGGCAGGGATGCTGGCCCCAGTGCTGCGCGGAGAAGCACCTCCCAGCCTGGGTCCTTTCTTGATGGCCTCTCCAGAGGATGTCCAGGCCCTCAGGAGCCTGAGAGGGCAGTTAGAGCCACAGTGGAAGATGCTGCAGGTGGCCGGTGAGGCTGGTTCAGGACACGGCTGTGCTGGGTCTGGAGGGGAAGGGCGAACCTGGGCCATTCAAGCTGCTGTCCATGGTGCACCTCTCCTGCCTCCTTCCCTAGTACCGCTTTCCTCTGGCAACGTGGAATCGACCACGGCAGGAATGTGCACACCACAGAAATAATACCACGATACAGCCCCCAAGTCAGCTGCTGCGCTCAACAACAGCGGGCCGTGGCCATGGCGGTCCCGCCCCTCTCCGCCATCCTCACCACGCCCTACGGAGGCCCACACCGTCCCCGCTTCCGCCCCGCGGTGCTCCCACCCTCACCCCCTACAGCGTCTCGCTCCGTCCGGCCCCGCAGTGTCCCAGACCGTACAGTCGTGGCTCAGTCACGCCCCACCCTGCGGTGGCCCAGACCCTCCCGGTTCAGGTTCGCTTTGCTCTGTGGCGGCTCCGCCCCTACCCCTCTGGCGCCCAGTTCTTACCCTTCTCGCGGCAGCCCTGCCCTACGTTAGTAAACTTAGAAAAACCAGAGTCTGACTCCGCCTCCTTCTTAGCCGTCTTGTTCCGGACTGACTCACTGCGCTCTAGCCGGAAGTGCGCTGTGGCTAGCGCAGGGGTGCGGCCAGACTGGGGCACAGGCATCATCCCTACGGGCGCGCTGGTTCTAGCGGCGGTGACGCAGTTCCGGCGCGCCGGTTCTAGCAGCGGCGGGAGCGGGAGCTGAAGATTGTCTTCCCTGTCGAAGTCTGGCGACTAGGAGGACGTACGGGCTAGACTCTGGAGCTCGGACTGCTCTCTTCCACTCCACACTCCTCGAGTCCGCAAGATCCTGGGCTGCAGCCTCTGCGGGCCGTCCCCTCTTGGAGACGCCAAGGAGTGCAAAGCCACGTACGTCCACTGTGTACCTCCCGGGAGCACATTCCGTTCTTCGAATTTATAGCGTTCTGTGGCCCCCTGAGGGTTAAGGACTACCGAGTTAGGAGAGAAACGTGGAGCTCGCGCTCGGCGGGCTGCTGTGGGCTGTCAGGGCAGGATAGGTAGGCTGGGGAGGCCAGAGCGTACATACTAAATGTAGGACAACTCGTTTAAAATGCACGTTCTGGCTTTGGAGTTAAGAGGCTGCCTGACATTCAGCCCTGTCTTACCCTCTCCAACTCCCTGTTTTTCAGAACGTGAAGTGAAGGCCGGGTGAAGTGTTTTCTCAAGCACTGGGGGCCTGGAGCTGAGCAGGGGTGGGCATGGCCAGCATTACCCAGCTCTTCGATGACCTGTGTGAGGCCCTCCTGCCTGCTGCCAAGACTCACCTGGGCCAGCGCAGTGTGAACCGGCAGAGGGCAAAGCAGAGTCTCAAGAAGGTGGCCTACAATGCTCTTTTCACAAATCTTTTTCAAGATGAGATGCGTCAGCTGCAGTCTGACCTGTCAAAACTCCCAGTGAGAAACAAGATCCTCATGTTGTCCTTTGACTTGAGAGTGGGTGGCCTGGGCCCGGAGGCAGACCGTTTGGAGGAGCTTGTGGAGGAGCTTGAAGCAGCCCCTTGCTGTCCACTTGTGGAGGTGGGGTCTATTTTGGACCTCCTGGTTCAGCTGGCAGGGAGTGGTCCCCCTCAAGTAGTGCAAAGAAAACGGGGCTACTTCCTTAACAACAAGCGTGTGGGGAGAAATGTTCCATATGGCGGCTACGATTGCTATGATGTCAGTGCATTTGAGTTGGACATTCAGTCTCTGATCTCCAGAGAGGAATCTTTGTGTCTTAGCATGATCCAGGAAACACTTCAGGTTATGGAGGCTGCCCCAGGCACTGGCTTACCCACTGTTGGGCTCTTCTCATTTGGTGACCCTTGTAGTGACAAATTTGAAAGAGACACCCGGGTCTCACTCTTTGGTGCCCTTGTGCACAGCCGAACTTACGACTTGGATGTCCGACTCGACCTGCCCCCGGTGCCAGATAGTGCAGATCTTTCTGGACTGGCCATTAAGGTAGAATATTTTCCAGTTCTTATCTCTCTGGGGTTTTGGAAAATGCCTTCTTTGGCTTTTTCTTTCTTTTTTATTACTATTATAGTAAAAGTAGCATGGCTCAGTCTGGGTCACCTGGTGGCTGAGCTGTCTGGAGGCAGCATCTCACTCAGTCACCCTGGGTACAGCATTGTGTCATAGCTCACAGCAACTTCAGATTCCTGGGCTTAAGCAATACTCCAGCCTCAGCCTTCTGAGTAGTTGGTACTACAGGTGCCTGCCACAACACCTGGCTTGTTTTTCTATTTTTAGTAGAGATAGGGTCCCTGTGTTACTCAGGCTAATCTCAAACTCCTGAGCTCAAGCAGTCCATCTGCCTTGTTCTCTCAGAGTGCTGGGATTGCAGGCATGAACCACTGTGCCTGGCCCTGTACAATGCATTTTGAAATATTTTTCCACCTATAATATGAGGTGTTTTCCCTATGTTATATAAATTACTATTGACCTTTGTGCTTTATTGCTTTATGAATGTTGCTAAAACTATTATTTTCATTCATTCTATTACTATGAGATATTTAGTATTTAGGTTATTTCCAAATATAAATGGTGCTACAGTTAAACATCTTGGTGTACATTAATTTTTTGTAGCCAGTATAATTTTTTTTCTTATGCTGGGTTCCCCAGAGTGGAATTTCCAGGTCTGAAGTATTTCATAAAAATTTCATTGTAAATTTTATTGAGGTGGGCCTGGCTGGAGTTGTGCCTGACTGTGTGGCCAGACGCCAGTGCCATTAAAAAAAAAGTTATATTGAGGCTTCTATGTTATAAGAAATTGGAAATCTGTAGTCTTAATTGGTTCGTTTAATTCCTTAAATGATTTAGTGGGGGAAATCATTGTAAAGTACATATGTGTTGAGTCTTTGCTTTGGCGAATAAATGGAAATGTGGATAAAGTTCTGGCAGTCTGATCTTACTGGGATGAGATGTGGGTACAGAGGAGTGGGTGGTGACATGTCTTGCCTTGCTTTCCAGGTTCCTCAGAGTGTGGATCAGTGGGAGGATGAAGGGTTCCAGTCAGCGTCTAATTTGACACCTGATTCCCAGTCTGAACCCAGCGTAACCCCAGACGTGGACTTGTGGGAAGCTGCACTTACCTATGAGCCCAGCAAGCGGAGATGCTGGGAGCGAGTTGGATGGTGTGTGAGCCTTTTATATGCATCACCCCACCCATATGAGTGTGGCCTCATGGCCTCAGCATGTGGAGGGTATGTGTGCTCACTGAGCCAAAGCAGCTCAGATGAGATTAGGAATCTAGAAGTTTCAGCCAGACTGGTATACAAAATTATGAGTCTTGGGAATGAAGAGAGATGCAGAGGAACGACTTCTGGCCTTTAAGGAAGTCCCTGCTGTGCCATAATCTCTGAGAATCACTCCTTCTAGCAGAGGAATCAGTAGGCAAGCTGAGTTATGTTATTGCCAGGGCTTCCAGTCAGAGGTAGCTGAGCACTGCCTGGTAGGTGATGTGGTCAGTGCTAGGAAGAAATGCTGTCTGGGCACAGGGTGCTGATGAAGGAGCCTTTTCCACATCTAAGAAGAGTTGGAAGTGGCCCTCTGGCTGGTGAGAAGTTCTGGTTGTAGCGGCCTTTCCCTGACTGCAGCTTGCTAGCAGCTTGCTTCCCAGACTGAGTGGCCACTCACTCCCTGGGCTCATCCTGTGCTGTACTTAGGACCTCTCAGGGTCTTTGATGTGCTAGTATCTCAAAAACTCCCAGAACCAGAGTAGAAGACACACATTTCCCTATTACTGGGTCATGGAATACCCTTTTGACATCCAATCCACCAGTGATTCTGTGGAATCCCAGTTTAGGGAGTGCTGAATTGAAGAATCAGGACTGGCAGGAAGCTGAGTGCCCCCTCATGCTGCCCCAGGTTCCTGCAGTGTTCCCTGGGGAGGAGCACATACCCAGCAGGCTTTCTTGGATATGATCACCTGCTCCCAAGTGGAATCCTCCAGGAGTACTTGGTTCTCTGCTTCCCAGCACAGTGGTGTAGGTAGTTGTCTTGTTCTGTCCTATAACAGCCTGTCAGGTCCTTAGTTCTGTCTTTTTGCATATACAAAGCAAATGTCAGTTCACTATCTTTGTCACCCTGTTCTGAATGCACTTAATCCCCTTGGTGTGCCCTGAAAGCACAGAGCTGACCGCAGAACTCCAGCACTTAGAATCACCTTGGTAGTCCTTTTTACAAGGAGGGCTACAGCAACATTCCTAAGGATGATGTGTGCCTGGCAGCATGCTCAGGACAGCTTAAGAAATTTCTGCAGGGACCCTTCCCCAGGGCCTCACAGAACAGAGGTGCTGTGGTTAGCAGCTTTCATGGGGCCTGAGTTCCCCTCTCTCAGGCTTTTCCACTACCTGTTTGGTTGTAAAACTGAACCATGATCCCTGATATTGCAGAGGGGATAACCTGAGGGTGTGGTTAAAATTCACTTTGGTGAATCTTTTAAGTTTTTTTTTTTTTTTTTTGACAAAGAGTCTCACTATGTTGCCCTTGGTAGAGTGCTGTGGCGTCACAGCTCACAGCAGCCTCCAACTCTTGGGCTTAAGTGATTCTCTTGTCTCAGCTTCCCAGGTAGCTGGGACTACAGGTGCCTGCCACAATGCCCAGCTGTTTTTTGTTGCAGTTGTCAATGTTTCAGCTGGCCCGGGCTGGGTTCAACCTAACAATTTTGGTGTATGTGGCTGGTGCCATAACCACTGTGCTACAGGTACTGAGCCCATTTTCGTGAATCTTTTGATCTTTTACCCCCCTGTCCCACCCAGACAGTCTCATTTTATTGCTTTTGGTAGAGTGCTGTGGCGTCATAGCTCACAGCAACCTCAAATTCTTGGGCTCAAGTGATTCTCTTGCCTCCCGAGTAGCAGGGACTACAGGAGCCTGCATGGTACCCTGCTATTTTTAGAGATGAGGTGTCGTTCTGGCTCAGGCTGGTTGCAAACCTGTGAGTTCAGGCAATCTACCTGCCTCGGCCTCGCAAGTGAATCTTTTGATTTTGTTTCAGTTTAAATCCGGCCACTTGCTTGTTTCCTGTCATGAGCTCTGACCAGTAGTAGCTAAAGAAGCTATTGGCTAGCCAGAAGCAGAGCCCATTCTGCTGCCTCCCTGAGACTCCTGGAAGGCCAGCCTCCCCCCCCTTCACCACCCAGAGAGCCAGTGTGGGTGAGGCTTGCTGCTGGGCTGGGCCAAGGCTGAAGCTTTTCAGAGCCTGGAGTGGCAGGTTTCTCTGCAAACATCACCCATGTGGGCAAAGTGTTTAGTTACACTTAGCTGTGAGAACCTGTGGGAAAGTGGTGTTTTTGTGCTGTTAGCCTGGGATGTTGGCCTATGTTTTCCTGCTGTCACTGGCTTTTCCGTCTAAGCTCTGATTCGCCAGAGGTGGTGAGTGGCTGTGACTGGGGATTAGTCCTGGAGGAGCCAGGCAGAAGAGGCTGCAGTGGGGAGTGGAGTGGTGACCACAGCCTACATGTGCTCACAATGAATGTCCCAGAGGGTGCAGGCTGAGGGGTTCAGAGCATCTTCCTGTTTTCACACTGTTCTTCCCTTGAGGATGGGAGGCTATTTTCTGGGATCAGAAGCAGCACCCACCTGCTGACTGCATGCCTTTGGGCTAGTCTGCTTGCTTCATCCAGCACCTTCCAGCCCACCCTCCACATGAGAGATTGGGTAGTGTTACCTGCGAGGGCGTAAGTCAGAGCTCGTCACTGCTGTGCAGGGCCTCATTATTGCCCTTAGGTGGAACATGGCCTGACCCTTTCTGATATGTCACCTGGGTGCAGTGGGGCTAGAGTGAAGGTGCAGCGGGGTGGTGGATTGAGGGTGGTGTGAGTGTGCAGTGGGGTGGTGGATTGAGGGCAGGTGTGAAGGCACAGCAGGGTGGTGGATTGAGGGTGGGTGTGAGGGTGCAGCGGGGTGGTGGATTGAGGGTGGGTGTGAGGGTGGCAACGGGGTAGTGGATTGAGGGTGGGGTGAGTGTGAGTGTGGCAGCAGTATAGCACACATCATCGTATAAGCCTGTATTTAAAAAATAAAGTCCACTCCTTTTCACTCCTGCTCCCATGGCCTGATAGCCACTGTTCTTTTTGTCTTTAGGATTTTGACTACTGGTGAGTATCTCATATGAGTGGAATCATAGTATTTGCTCTTTTGTGACTGGCTCCTTTCACTCAGCACAGTGTCCTCAAAGGACATCCCTGTGATAGTATGTGTCAGAATATTCTTACTTTTCAAGGCTGACTGATACGCCATAGTTTGGGTGGAACATATTGTTTATCCATTCATTTCTTCTTAGATACTTGGGTTGCTTCTACCATTTGGCTGTGTGGGCAATGATGCTTTGAACATGGGTATGCTAGCCTTGTGTTTGCTGGTAGTGGAAGAGTACTTGTGAATCAAGTGAATCATTGTCCTCAAGATCCGTGGTGTGTCCTGTGGGTCTCTTCCAGTGCCGCACTAGTGGGGACAGTCCTGTTGCTCCCTGAGCCCCAAGCAGGCGCCCTGGATACATTGCCACACAGACCTGTCCATGTAGAATTGGTGGCAGCCAGCCTCGAGACTGGTGGATGCTGAGGGAAAGGCTGGGTGGTTGGGTAGGATTCATAATTGGTTGTCTTTCATAGATGTTTATTGTTTTGAATCTCTTTCTTCTGTTCATACCCTCAGAGAATGCACACCTGGTGCTGAGGTGTGGTTGCTGTATCTACTTACAGCTGTCTTCTCTCTTCCCCACAGCCTCCCTGGCCACAGAGAAGAGCCCTACCTCACAGAGGCAGGAAGGGACACTTTTGACCGGTTCTGCAGACTCCGCCAAGGGGAGCTACAGGTTCTCAGTGGGGGCCTCTTGCAGGCCCCACACCCTGTGCTGGTGAAGGAGTGTGAACTGGTGAAGGATGCACTGAATGTCCTGATTGGGGTCGTATCCACCACATTTTCCCTCTGCCAGGTGAGAAGTGCTTACTTCTGTTTGGGGGCCCACCCTCTAGTCACCTGTGGGACATCAGGTAAGGCCTGCTGTACAGGTCATGGTATAGGCCACAGGTGACTACAGCCACAGTCATCCCATTTCATTTCTCTTTTTTTTATTTTTTTTTATTTTTTTGAGACGGAGCCTCAAGCTATTCCCCTGGGTAGAGTGCTATGGCATCACGCTCACAGCAACCTCCAACTCCTGGGCTCAAGCGAGTCTCCTGCTTCAGCCTCCCAAGTAGCTGGGACCACAGGCGCCCACCACCGCGCCAGCCATTTTTTGGTTGCAGCCATCATTGTTGTTTGGTGGGCCCGGGCTGGGGATTCGAACCCGCCACCCTAGGGGTATGTGGCTGGCGCCTCGGCCGCTTGAGCCACAGGCGCCGAGCCCCATTTCATTTCTCAAAAGTATTAATTTATTAATCTTTTGAAAACTGAATAAGAGTAAGATGCTTGTTGCTATCAATGAAACCACAGAAAATGCACCTCCCCATTTCCAGTCCCACCCTGCAGAGGTGCTGAGGTATCTTTGGCACATGCTCAGTGCTCGCAAGCAGTGCAGAGTCCAGCTGCAGGAATGCCTGCTTTGCGGAAGAGTCGGATGGTTTGGATTTGTGAACTTGGCTGCTGCTCTTCTGTCTCTCCTGGCTTGTGTGCTGGGGCTGAGGGATCTGGGCAGGAGCTCTTGCTGGGCACTTAAGAAGTAAATGGATATATTTAGAAAAATGAAGTCTCGTTCTGTGGCTTTTTTCTTTGATACTAGTGGTCACCCCTTTTCTATGTTTTAAGTGTTATTTTTTATGTTGTTATTATTTTTGAAAGAGTCTCAAGCTGTTGCCCTGGGTAGAGTGCCATGGTATCATAGCTCACAGCAACCTCCAGCTTTTGGGGTCAAGCAATCCTCTTGCCTCAGTTTTTCTATTTTTAGTAGGGACAGGGTCTTGCTTTTTGCTCAGGCTGGTCTTGAACCCGTGAGATCAAGTTATACACCTACCTTGGCCTCCTAGAGTGCTAGGATTACAGGTGTGAGTCACTGCACCCCGCCTTAAGTGTTCTTTTGTGGTGGCTTCTTAGATGTGAGTGTGCACTAGAAGAATATCTGCAGTTGGCCTGGTGCTCACTAGCAAGTGGTGCTAGTGCCCTTGCTGAGGGCACCTGTTCCAGAACAGTGTCTCACTGACTCACAGTATTCTGTTGTGAGAACAGCCTTTTTCCCTTTCTCTACCCCACCTCTATTTTTTTTTTTTTTTTAATATATAAGACTTGTTGAATTTAAAAAGACTTGTTGAATTTTTTTTTTTTTTTTTTTTTGAGACAGAGTCTCACTTTGTCACCCACGGTAGAGTGCTGTGGCATCACAGCTCACAGTGACCTCAAACTCCTGGGCTTAAGCGATTCTCTTGCCTCAGCCTCCCAAGTGGCTGGGACTACAGGTGCACTCCACAACACCTGGCTATGTTTTTTAGAGATGGGATCTCATTCTTGCTCAGTCTGGTCTCATGCTTGTGAGCTCAGGGCAATTCACTGCCCTGGCCTCCCAGAGTGCTAGAATTACAAGCATGAGCCACTGTGCCCAGCCCCTTCCCCTCTATTTTAGATACGTTCTTCTTCTTCTTTTTTTTTTTCCTGCAGTTTTTGGCCAGGGCTTGGTTTGCACCCACCACTTCTGGTATATGGGGCTGGTGCCCTCCTCCTCTGAGCCATAGGCACCGCCCTCTTTCTTTCTTTCTTTATTTTTGAGACAGAGTCTCACTCTGTCGCCTTTAGTACAGTGCCGTGGTGTCATAGCTTATAGCAACCTCAAATTCCTGGGCCCTAGTCATCCTCCTTCACCTGCTCACCTCAAGTAGGTGGGACCACAGGTGCTTGCCATGCCCTGCTAGTTTTTTAAACATGGGGCCTTGCTATTGCTCAGTCTGATCTTGACTCCTGAGCTCAGGCAATCCACCTGCCTTGGCCTCCCAGCATGCTGGAGTTACAGGCATGAGCCACCATTCCCAGCCTCTTGTCTTGCTTCTGATTTTTTTTTTTTGCGTTTTTTTTTTTTTGGCCAGGGCTGGGTTTGAACTCCCCACCTCCGGTATATGGGGCCAGCACCCTACTCCCTGTACTTTTTAGTCTTTTACTATTTAGTATGATGTTTGTTGAGGTTTCTCATATGTAGCCTTTATTATGTTAAAGAACTTCCCTTATATTCCTAATTTATTGAGTGTTGTCTCAGGAAAGGGTGTTGGATTTTGTTAAATGCTTTTTTTTTTGCCTGAGTTGGGATGATCATGTGGGCTTTTTTCCCTTGTGTTTTATTAATGTGGTAGGTATGCTACATTGATTAATTGCATGTGTGTGTTGCATTCCTAGAACAAAACTCACTGGATTATGTGTTTCAATTTAGAGTATTTAAGATGGGTTCGGCGCCTGTGGCTCAAGTGGCTAAGGCGCTAGCTATATACACCTAAGGTGGCAGGTTCAAATCCAGCCCAGGCCCGCCAAACAACAATGACAGCTGCAACCAAAAAAAATAGCCGGGTGTTGTGGTGGGCACCTATGATCCTAGCTACTTGGGAGGCTGAAGCAGGAGACTCGCTTGAGTCCAGGAGTTGGAGGTTACTGTGAGCTGTGATGCCACAGCACTCTACCCAGGGGGACAGCTTGAGGCTCTGTCTCAAAAAAAAAAAAAGAATATTTAAGACGGAGCGCATCCTATTTAGGAGAGACACAAGATGGAAATAAAGATTTTATAGGTCTTGGGCAGTGGTATACCATGACATCCGGAGGCCACAAATACACAGAGATCAGGGAGCTTGTGAAGAGAGAGAGAGGAACTCATGGGTCAACACTTTTACCGCAGTATAGGGCATTATCCAAACAAGATTTCTAGAGGGAGTTTCAATGGTGTGTTTGAAGCAGATAGGTAGGAGTCCCAGGAAGTCATGTGGCACCCAAGAGATAATTCTTTGGCAAGTTGGTATAGTCCATTCAAGGTGTGGTGTCAGTGGGGCCAGTCAAGTAGGTTGTAGCTGCCACATAGGTTAGTGGTCACCAGGAGGCAGAAATCTCAGTTGAGTACATTGAGGAACTGGGAGGAGGTGAAGACATAGAAACTGTCAGGGGGGACACAGCCCTCCTTCAGTATGGGAAAGTCCAAGGACAACATAAAATCATGAGAATTCACTACATCATGGTGTATAATAGCCACAATTTAGAGATGGGGGTCTTTCTCTTGCTCAGGCTGGTATTTAACTCCTGAGCTCAAGCATGCCACCCACCTTGGCCTCCCAGAGTGCTAGGATTACAGGTGTGAGCTACTGTGCCTGGCTAGCCTGGCTATATTTTCTTACATGCTTTTTTTTTTTTAACATTTGGAACTCTGATGCCTTTAATCAATCAGCAGATTACTTGATTAGCTATGGTTTTTTTGTTTGTTTGTTTTTTTTTTTGCAGTTTTTGGCGGGAGCCGGGCTTGAACCTGCCAGCACCCTACTCATTGAGCCACAGGTGCTGCCCTGTGGCTTTATTTCTATAAATCAGTAGTAACATCCCAACTTTCATGTCTAGTTTTAGTAATTTGAATTTTTGTTTTGTTTTGTTTTGTGCAATTAAAACAGGTGGGGGAGGCTTTCTAAATGGGAAGAAATCCACATGTGGGTATAATGGTGAAGGGGGGCAGTTTAAAGGTCAGGAAGGTGGGGATTGGGACATTCCCTTTCCTGGGTTGGACACCTGTTGTAAGATTTACCTTTCCCAGGTGGGACATTTGGTGGGGTAGGGTAAGAGGTTGACCCATTCACCTTTCTTAGGTGGGATATCTGGTGGGAGAGGGTAGGGAGTTGATTCTTTTAGGCAGGTTCACCCTGTTTGGACAGGGTTTGATCCTATCATTTCAGTCTTTTTTGTCTATTATAAGGAGACAGGATGATGAGGGTGATATGTGGGAAGGGCTGTGTGGGCTGCTTGTAAAGAGAATACGAGGGGGAGGGGAATGAGGTAAGGGAGTGGTATTTATAGGAACTCTTGGGCTTTTTCAGCTGGTTGGTATTCAGTAAGGTGAGGATATGAGGAGTTGTTTCCAGGTGACCATCTGGTTAATAAATCAAGAAATGAGGCAGAGGGTTACTGGTTTGAAACTGAGAATGAGAAAAAAATCATAATTGGTGACCTTATCAGACAATAACCAAACAGGAAGGTGGGCAGTGAGAGGCAGGAACCAGTTGCAGTTACCAGGGCCTACAGCAATCCTGAGAAGCCGTCAAATACCCATTACTGAGATCTCTGCCCATTCTTAGAGGATTTTTACAAGGTGGCAGTGTGGATGAAGTTTCTCCTGTGTTTGTTAGAACAGAGAAAAATATTGGCTTACCTTCTATAAGCAAAAATACCTAGAGTTCTATTTTCTAGGACAGTGTCCAGGAGGCATTCTGATTTTCCAAGGTTATTGGTCTTTTGCAGCTAGGCTCAGGAGGGAACTTCAGCTACATTCTGAGAGTGTCTGCCCTAGATCTTCAGAAAGACTCAGGCAGCTAGACTTCTGCAGGCTCGACACAGTTTGGGGGTAGTTTGGATTTGGGGCATTGCTTTGCCAAGAAGCCTGGTTTGCTGCACTTAAAGCATGACCCCGAGGAAGATTTTGTTTTCCAGAATGCCCTGCGGAGTTATAAGAAGTAGCCAGGTTTTGTTTAATGATGCAAGCCAATACTGGAACTCTGAGAGGCACTGGCACACCTTGAAGGCCAGATCAATGAGATCTTGCTAGGAGGTCTGAGGGCCCTGAGGGAATTCCACCATTTTTTTCCCTACCTCTTGTGGAAGAGGGTGGGTGGGGAGCCATGGAAAGGGGGTGATGGGATATTGTCTAAGGGAAGGATGTGGACTTGAGGGTTAGAGGACAATGAGAATGGGTGGCTGATGGGAAGTTACAGATGGAAGAGAGGTATCCTACACAGAGAAGCTTCCCAGGTGTTCTAATCCAGAGAATGGAGGGATTGTAGGAGGGGGGTTGGAGAGGAGCAGTAGGGGCTGTGGAGGGGTATTAGGACTCGGGCTGGGAGAATCGGGGAGAGTTCATAGGATGAACACAGGGAAGTGTGAGAAATGCCTAGATATAAGGGATTTCTGACCATTTGCCTAATTTTTTTTTTCTTGAGACAGAGTCTCACTATGTTGTCCTTGGTAGAATGCCGTGGCATCACAGTTCACAGCAACCTCAAACTCTTGGGCTTAAACAATTTTTCTGCCTCAGCCTCCCCAGTAATTGAGACTACAGATGCCTGCCACAACACTGGGCTATTTCTTTTATTGTAGTTGTCATTGTTGTTTAGCAGGCCCAGGCTGGGTTCGAACCTCTGAGCCCCCGTGTATGTTGCCAGCACCCTAACCACTAAGCTATTGTTTTTCTTTTTTTTTGCAGTTTTTGGCCAGGGCTGGATTTGAACCCACCACCTCTGGTATATGGGGCCGGGGCCCTACTCCTTGAGCCACAGGCACTGCCCAGTTATCCTTTTTCTTAATTGTTCTAAAGATTTGTGAGTTTTGTTGATCTTTTCAAAGTACCAAATTTACTTTAGTTGATTCCCTCTATTTTTCTTTTCTTTTTTTTTTTTTTAAATAACAGCTGTATTCACATATAATTCATACACTGCACAGTTCACCCATTTCAAGTATAGAGTTCAAGACTACACATTCAGGGATCATTTGTACAGTTTGTTCATTTGTTAACAGAGAAGGTTCCCTGAAGGTCTAGAAGAGAGAGAGAGAAAGAGAAAATGAGAGAGAGAGAGGAAAGAAAGGGATGAAGGAAAGAAAAGCTGATTTCCTCTATTTTTCTACTGTCTATTTATCTTTGCTCTGATTTTTTTTTTTTTTTT